GAAACAAAAGGGAGCAAACACATTAAAGAAATCACATTAAATGAAGGCTCGACTGACTATACTTGTGGTATTGGGTCGACACGGTGATCTCTGGGACCACATCTCCTTTCATTGTCTGCCGACAAACCCTAACCTAAAATAATGACGACTTCCAATTCTTGATGAAGGTTAGGGTCCCCAGATGAAATAAGAGTGCAGGCCCCAAGGGTTCATATAGTACCACCCCTTACAATCACTCATCCCACTAGATGCACGAAGTTGAAAGAGGGTCTGGAAAATATGTGGGGGCATATCCTAGCCAAGAGTGACCTCCTTCCAAAGAAGGAAGGCCCCTGCTAACTAGCTACGTGCATTTGGCACTAACTTAGTGGGGGCTAGGTTATATTGCATGAGGATATACCTAAAAAAAGGATGCAGACGTAGTTTCATCCCCCACCCAGAATTGCCTCGCTTACTGCTACATACCCTTCCCTAGGAAAACTGACTCTCTCCTCAGGGGTCGGCACCAACATCTCTATATAATCTGGGATCCTAAACCTCTCCCAAAATCCTTCGAGCTTGCTTTCTTTTATGTCAGTTGGCCATAAAGAAGCCCCCCACCTAATAAAAACATCAATAGGGCCCTCGGCATCATCCATGTACTGTGAGGGTCCCCATAGCCTCCATAATCCTTTCAGTAGAAATTATGGGAGGCACACCCGCCTCGGTACATATCAGCGCCATATCTACCTTAGAAGACCCCTCGAACACATTCTTTGTTGAAGAAGAAGCCATCTTATACGAACAAAATTGAGAGCTAAAAAATATGGGATACTTACACAAAGATTTGGGATGCTTTGAAATGAGAAAAAAATGGTGTTGTTCACCGAAGATAGCAGGAAGACGCTAAGAAAGGTGAGAGTATTTTCAGCACTTAAGATTTGTAATTTTCGCAAGGTGAAGAAAAATGGGAAAAAGTAGATTTTCAGACTTTTATATATGCATAATAAATGAACCCCCACCGTTGGATCTTCCTCTACTCTAATCTGGGCTATCCACCTTAGACTCATCTACCACGTTAAAACCAAAGGAAACTTGCTAAAAATTCAAATCAAGGACCCAGATGAAATAGTACAGAGCACACACCATATATTCGTGTAAACCTCACCACATGTGAAACATCATCATCATTGCGCATTAAATCTACAGTAAGTTCGAGCCTTGGAAACCGCCACACTACCCAGCTATTTTTTATTGGGAATCAACGTGCCTTTCAAATCATTAGAGCATGCCACCTGGGAGGTTTCAGCTACTAAAGAGGCTCGACATATGCTCCAAGGGCCTCACCTCGCATCATTCAGCTTTATCACAGGCTTTAGCTATTAAAGAGGGGCCTCGCCTCGCAACATTCAGCCTTATCACAGGTTTCATATGCTTATGAGGTTTGACATATGCTCCAAGGGCCTCACCTCGTATCATCCAGCTTTCTCACAAGCCTTAGCTACCAAAAAGACTTAACACCCGATCCAAGCTTTTCTGTCGACCCGAAAGTCCACGCATTGTATGAATAATCATACATGGATTTCAGGGAGTGTTGTTACGCTGTGAAAAACTAGGACCCATGGAGGGGCTCAATTAGCCTACGTGGCAAACAGTTTGAGGGCACATGCCTCATACGCTAGCATATGGCAATCCAGATACATGCAGGTGAATCGATCCAAGTACGAGCGACCCACCTCTCCCATACAAAATGTCAAACAGATCCCTTCATAGGCAGATCCCATTGATGAAACCAGCCTAAGACGAGGCATTGGCAAGATCTCGAGTGAATCCCACATGACATGAGTTGACAAGACAACACTGCTACTGGCGCCACCACCATTTTATTTGGTCAAGTCTAAAGTACTAGCTAGGCTTTATGGACAACAAAATGGTAATAGCATTTAAGGCTGGGATTGATTGATTACATGATAAGAAATAAAGTCATTCGGATAAGGTCACGTGTACTATCATCCAATGGCCATCATTTATTTCATCCGAGTATAAAAGCCCATACTTAGCACCATTAGAGGTTAATGCAAGTTTAGACTTTTAAATCTATATCTTTGCTATATATTTTAAACATTCTCTCCCAAGCCGGCCCCCTTTTTATTTATTGGAGCTGGCTCACGTTCAAAACTTTCCCACACTCTAAACTATTTCTCCAATTGACTTGATTATTGGAGTGCACGTGGCCAACTCTATCCCCTCAAGAGAAGGCCACGTGTGACTAGCAGTTTGTCCAAGTGTGTAAGAATCCAGCTTGCGTGGACGTGAGAGGTCTTGGGATCTGTTGGCCACATCATGGTACTTTTTTGGGGTCAACAAATTCATTTTCCAATTTAAGCATTATTTTCCTTGGTGTATGTAGAGCACGAGATTCTACTAACCATTCTTTAAATTAATTTTTTCTGTTGGAATTAATATAGACAGAAATTTTCATCTTTGGAATGCAATTGAATGCCACCGTTATGAATGCACAAAACAGAAAAAGATACTACACCTTTTCTTTTATTTAGCCCATGCTTGGTTTGACTAAAAATAAGATCTTTAGTGTTTTTAATAAAAGTTTATGAAATGTGGTTAAAAAGTTGAAGAAGTTGTGAGTCCTATAAAATTTGTAATTGAAAATAGGTTTGGGGAGAAAAATGTGTTTTAAAAAATTGGGGCCAAACAAGGACTTAGTTATTATATGTTCTTGTACTCAATTATGTCTCTTATTTGTGGCTTTTGAAACCTTGTGCTATGTTGATTATGTATATCAGTATGCTTTATTGTGTCTATTGGGAAAGCTGATGTCTTTACGTACAATTAATACCTATAGGAAGAAAAGAACAAGATAATGAATTTTGAATGATAATAAAAAAAAAAATTGTATTGCTATCAAAATTTGGAAAAATATTCACACACATTTACAATTGATTGTATGACAGTATATACAATTTTTATAGAGTTTATTCTAAATAACGATCCTGAAATGACGATTGACTTTTACAAAGAACATTGACTTAAATATTTGGACTGTTACACTCTTGATTCTTGGCTATTTATCTGCTTGCTGATCTTGCTAAGTTTTGGTTGCTTAATTTGAGGAATCTTCCATTATGCGCCTCCACAAGATGGAACTGCCATCGGCTAGGCCAATCTTGCTCCGTAGAAGTTCCGTTCTTTGGCGTGACAATGGCTTAGTCAAAAGATTAGCTAGCTAGTCTTGTGTGTTGACGTGATGAACATTAAGAATGCCACGTTGAACCATATCACGAATAAAATGGAGGTCAATCTGAATATGCTTCATTCGGGAATGCTGTACAGGATTAAAACTTAGATGTGTTGCTCCCAAATTGTTACACAGCAACTTTGGTGAACTTGATAGAGGAAGACCGAGTTCTTTGAATAATGATATAGCCATAATGTCTCCGAAGCTGTATTGGCGAGGGCTTTATATTGGGCTTTAGTGGATGATCTTGCTATAGCTCTTTGTTTCTTTGAACTCCAATAGATTGGATTAGCTCCAAGAAAGTTGATATAGGCAGAAGTAGAGGTTCGATCATCGAATTTACCATCCCAATCAGCGTTTGAGTATGTTAAGAGATCAAAGCTGGATTTTTTTTTATGTGAAGTCCATGAAAAATTGTTTGTTTCAATGTCCAGACGAGTGAGAGACAAATATTGAATGCCTCCTAGTTGAGGTGCCATCAACTAGTTGAGAGCTGTGGTTGTTAACACGGAGTTGAGATATCTTTAGCACTAGCCATGTTGGTTTTTAACAGCAAGTCTCTAATATACTTGTGATGGGACAAGAAAATACCAGAGGTAGTGGAAATTACTTCCATTCCCAAGGAAAAAATAAAGATGCCCCATATCTTTTATAGAGAACCGAGTGCCAAGTTTTTGAATAATTTTAGCCACAAAATTCATATCATTTCCAGTGATCACCAAATCATCCACATAGACTAGTAAATAGCAGATAATAGAGTTATGGCTGCATATAAATAAAGATGAGTCAGCTTTTGATTTGATGCCCTCCTTATTGGATATAATCTACTTGATTATGTCACTAGTGATAAGCCCTGTCCCAAACAAATTGATCCCTCCATCCCCAACCTGCAAAAAACCTATTGTAGTGATGTCTCCACCGCGACCACCACCAGTGACTTTGAAAGGCAATGCTATATCACTTCATCTCCAGGTAACTGTTCTTCTTTATCTGATTTAGGTAATATGTATTTTTCCCTTCTAACCCTTGTTCCTCGCATTGACATGACCACTTGTCTTCCTCATACAATACACACATTCAGACCACACAAAACTCCATTGTAAATGATGATACCCTCAATAACCCAACTGTGCAACTTTCTCACCGAACCCATACCATGACCACTGTAATGGTTGGAGCTCAACTTCTATTACAATGTAGGGGATTACAATTAAAATGACAAATATAAAAGTGAAGATATGGACCAATAGAGAATGGACCAGTGGAAGAGAATAGAGAAGAAGAAGAAGAAGAAGCAGAAGAAGAAGAAGAAGAAGAAGAAGAAGCTGCAGGAAGGGCAGAGAAGAAGACAGGGAGGAAAGGGGGAAAAACACGGGCTGCAAGCCAATTCATCAATTCACGTCCCTCCAAAGCTTCAATACAACCTAATATACATCAAAAGGACCCTAAAATTAAAGGGCTTGGGATAGCCCACAATGACACAAGCCCAAAAGTAGATGGACCAAGTTAGTCATGACATCTATTCCCCTTAAATTAACCTTGTCCTCAAGGTTAAAGGTTTGGATGTCTTCTTTATATGAAGTTAGCTACCTCATTCTCTTCGCCATCCTTGGATTGAGGAGGTAGTGCAAGATGTGTACGCTCGAACCGGGAAGTACTTTAAACACATCACCATGTTGAAGCAGCAATGCATTAATTTCTCTTTCTCCAATACTTTTTCCACCTTTGTGGACTGAATAAATAACATCAGTTTTTTCTGCAAGCATCATTTCTGCCCTAACGTGCACTTTATCATCCTTATGAGAAGCATGTTCAACTCCGTCTTCATAATTATCTTCACTTTCACCTTCACTATCTTCATTGACTCTTCATCATCATTATCAACATGCTCAACAACGTCACTCCCAGATTCACTATCGGTCTCTCTAGTAAACTCTTCAAGCAATTCACCAATTTCCTTTGTGCCATTTGTGAGGATTTGTCCATTCTCAGATAGAGCACCAAATGAAGTCCTCCTATGAGGCTTTTCTGTATTGGACTGCTTATCATTGTGAGCCTTCTCAGAAAATCGGACACACCCTTATACAAAATCAAATGTGATTGGACCAAACTGATTCATCCAATTTACCCCTAGTACCATGTCAATCCCTGATATTTTAAGTGTCCTAAGTTTGAATTGAAATTCCCATCCCTGAATCTTCCACATCACTGGGTAACCAAAGGCTTTACTTTCTAGTGCTTTCCCATTTGCTACCTTAATTGTAACCTTGTTAGTTTCATCAATGACATATTTCAACTCTTTAGCTAGTTTTTCCTCAATGAAACCGTGGGTTCTCCCACTATCAATCAATATGGACACTCTTCTTCCTTTAATCATCCCAGGCACTGTAATAGTTTTGTGCTTCGGACTTCCAACTAAAGCATCGATTGATACTTCCATGACTTCACCTCATTGTATCTTTTCAGGTTCATACTCCTCACTCTCACCATGCTCAACACCAACATTTTCTTTTTCCACATTCTCATCTTCACGATCATCCAACAAAATTCCTGAACCATCGTTATTTTGGGATTTTTCCTCAATACACACTTCTTCTTCAATAGTTTCTGAAAACCTCCTACAAAGTTCATCAGAAAACAACCTCCAGCCTGCTCCAGGGTGATTGACAATGAATCCATAAAACCATACATAAGCCCTCCCTTCCAAATACATCTTTGCAATTCCTAGCCTAAGTTCATCAAAAACTTGGTGTATCTGGAAGTATTCAATAGCCTTCCTAAGCCATTCGCAGGGTCCTTCTCCTCCAAAGTGGGGAAAATCAACCTTAGGAAGCCTAGTATTACCCATATACTTAGGCAGAGATTGAGCATATTGACTTAAATTATCATCAGAAACATGCACCTCAATATCTTGATTTACCGAGACTATGTCTTACTTGAAATCTTCTAAGGTAAAATAATTTTTAATTTCCTTGCTAACACCAGCTGCTATTGAGTGGCCTTCGGAATCTTTTCCCTGCACATTGCAGCAATCGCCAGATATTCCAGTATTGCTATTAGGGATATGTACTGATTGAGCCTCCATCATTTTGGTCAACATTGAGATGATCAATTCATTTTTTCTTTTCATTTCCCCCATCAATTGCTCCATCCTATCCTACTTAGTGTCGATCACCTTCAACATTTGATCCCATGATTTTGTAGTCACGCTCAGAAATCTCAGTTTCTTTTCGATCCTTTCAAATTGTTCTTCCTGATTTTTGCTAAAACTTTCCATTTTCTTCCCCAGCTCACATACTACTTTGATACCACTTGTAATGGTTGGAGCTCATCTTCTATTACAATGTAGGGGATTACAATTAAAATAACAAATATAAAAGTGAATGTATGGACCAGCAGAGAATGGACCAGTGGAGGGAGAACAGAGAAGCAGCAGCAGAAGAAGAAGAGGAATCAGAGAAGAAGCTGCATGAAGGGCAGAGAAGAAAAAGGAGAAGAAGATAGGGAGGAAACTGGATGTTAACATGCTTTTTTGCATGGTGAGTTGACTGAGACAGTGTACATGGTTCGGCCACCAGGATTTAAAGATGAATTCAGACCTAATCATGTGTACAGGTTACGTAAAGCTCTCTATGGCCTCAAACAGACACTTAGAGCCTAGTATTCGGCTCTTAAATTGGAAATCATTGATCTTAGTTTTCAAAACTCAAAACCTGACTCATCTTTATTTGTATACAA